TTTTTCTTGGATAAAACAAATACACCGCATGGAATGAGAATCTGCGCACAAACCAAGAACAAATGACAACCGAAATAACAAATAGCTCAAGTGTCGAGGCCCTACAAAGGTCCCTAAGCCCACGAGTTCAGGTTCTCCAGGACACAGCCCTCTCCGGTCCGCTCGACCAGCTGGCCGATCTGGAAGACGGTCTCGCCCGCCGCCTCCAGCATCTTAGCGACCTGCGCGGCCTCGGCGGCACCCACGGCGACCACCATGCCGATACCGTTGTTGAATGTCCGGCCCATCTCCGCCGGCGCCACATTGCCCTGCTGGCGCAGCCACTCAAACACGGGCGGCACCGGCCACGTCTTGACGTCGATGGTTGCCGCCAGGTGCGGCGGCAGCATCCGCGGCACGTTCTCCGTCAGACCACCGCCCGTGATGTGGGCCAGGCCCTTGACGTGCGGCACGATGCTCAGCACCGACCGCACGTAGATGCGCGTTGGCGTCAGCAGGCTCTCGCCAACCGTCGCACCCGGCGCCCACGGCGCCTTGTCGGTGTAGGCCACGCCAGCGCGGTCAACGATCCGGCGCACCAGCGAGAAGCCGTTGGAGTGCACACCGCTCGACGCCAGACCCAGCAGCACGTCACCGGGAACCATGGCCGACAGGCGCGGCAGGCGCTCGTCGGCCTGCATGACGCCAATGGCGGCACCCGCCGCATCGTACTCCTCGTCCTGGTACATGCCAGGCATCTCGGCCGTCTCACCGCCCACGAGAGCACAGCCCGAATCGCGGCAGCCAGCAGCGACGCCCTCAACAAAAGCAGCAGCGACATCGCCGATCAGCTTGCTGCAGCCAATGTAGTCGAGGAACATGAGCGGGCGGGCGCCCTGGACGACGAGGTCGTTGACGTTCATGGCCACCAGATCGATACCGACAGTGTCGTGCTTCTTGAGGGCAAGCGCAATCTTGAGCTTGGTACCGACACCGTCAATGGCGCCGACCAGGATGGGCAGGCGGTCCGAAGCCGGCAGGCCGGCCTTGGATAGGTCGACTTCACCGCCAAAGCCGCCGATCTCGGCATCGGCGCCGGGAATGGCCGTCGACGCAACGGCCTTCTTGATGCGCTCGACGAGCGCGTTGCCAGCCTCGATGCTGACACCGGCCTCGGCGTACGACAGCGACGCAACACCGGCAGCCGCAGCAGGGTTGGTCTTACGGAACGCGCGGTGGGCAATGTCCTTGCGGAAGTGCATGTTGTCGAACTGGATGCGCGGGACGCCCTCGGCATAGGCCTTGGCGACCGCAGCCTCGAGCGTCTCGGCCGTGGCGTTGGCGGCAATCACACGACCGCCCGACGTCTGAAGGGCGCCAGACGCGGGGTCCCGTTTGGTTCCGGCGTGGAAGATGGTGATGCCCGAGCCGACGGCCGGCTCCTGCACCTGCATGGGCGTACCCTTGGCATACGAGCCCGGGTAGCCGCCGGAAGCAACGACGACGGTAGCACTGAACTTGTTCTCAATCTTGATGTCGGCGGCGTCGAGGCAGCCGTTCGTGCAGGCCAGCATGATCTCCGCCAGGTCGGTGTCGGCCGACAGGAGCGGCAGCACGGTCTGTGTCTCCGGGTCGCCGAAGCGCACATTGTACTCGAGCGTGCGCGGGCTGCCGTCGGGGGCAATCATGAGGCCCGTGAACAGCAGGCCGCGGAACGGTGCCCAGTCCTTGCGCATGCCCTCGAGGGTGGGGGCCAGGACCTCACGGTCGATGCGGGCCAGCAGCTCAGGTGTGGCCAGGTTGGTGGGCGCGTAGCAGCCCATACCGCCGGTGTTGGGGCCCAGGTCGCCGTCAAAGATGCGTTTGTGGTCCTGGGCGGCGGGCAGCGACTTAAAGGTGTAGCCGTCGCAGAAGGTGAGGATGCTGAGCTCGTCGCCGTCCAAGAACTCCTCCACGACCACCTCAGCACCGGCCTCGGCGCCAAAGTCGAGGTCGACCATGATGCTCTTGAGAGCGGCCAGGGCCTCAGCGCGCGTGAACGGCAGAATGACACCCTTGCCGGCAGCAATGCCGGTGGCCTTGATCACGACGGCCGGGTTGGCCTCGGCAGTGGTGCGGGAGGCGGGCACGAGCTCCTCGATGTACTGGCAGGCGGCGGCGTAGTCGGAGAAGTTGCGGTAGGCGGCGGTGGGGATGTTATAGCGCTGCATGAAGTCCTTGGAGTAGGTCTTGCTGGCCTCGAGGATGGCGGCCTCCTTGCTGGGGCCGAAGCAGGGGATACCGACGGCGCGGAAGTAGGCCTCGATGCCGTCGACGAGCGGGGCCTCGGGGCCCGGCACAACGAGCTTGACGCCCTCGCGCTGGGCCAGGATGACCAGGCTGGGGAAGTCCTCAGCCGTGGCCACGTTGGACGCAACGTTCTCGACTTTGGGGCAGGCAGCGGTGCCGCCATTACCGGGGACAGCGAGGATGCGGGCGACGCGAGGCGACTGGGCAAGCTTCCAGGCCAGCGCATGCTCGCGGCCGCCGTTGCCGACGAGGAGGACCGTGAGGTTTTCGGAGGACGTGGAGGAGGCCATGTTGACGGATGGAGGGGGCCGAAGAGAAGAAGGAGACAGAAAGTTCTTTTGAAGAAAAAGAACACGACAATCGAGTCTGAGCAACAGACGTTCACTTATACCGACCTACAAAGGGTCGTGCAGCTGCAATTGCAATCGCCGGATGGCCCGTTCGTCTACAGTCCATTGGAAGGGAAGAAAGAAGAAACCTGAGTTTTTCCCTCGAGTTACAATCTCTCGCCGCCCAGCAAGGCTAGATCTACGTTCATTCTGGTTAACGCGCTCTTGCCTACTAATTTTTTTCGCGGTAGTTTTTTTCTGCCGTCCCAATGAGACTGAGAGAAAAACAGAGGCAAGAACGACCCCACCCCCACCAGAGCCCTGTCGTTGTTTTCACTTGCTGAACAAAAATCCTCTAATTGCCTATTAGAGCAGCCTAGTCGCCTGTGATAATCTATTGGCTGGAAAAAATGGAGACCCGTCTTTTGGCTAGTCACGTGTGATAAGGAACCAGTAAAGTTCACAGTTGACAGCAAAAGTTGACGTGCATCTCAACGTTTCATATGGCCCTTAACCGTCGACATGGCGACAGATCGAATACAAAAGGCGATGCATTCAAATAATACGGATACACCGGCTACTGCACCATTCGCAGGAGTGCAGTCCGGGTCGCTTCTTACACCCAAGGCGCGCTACGTTGCTGCTGCCGAACGTCTCGAAGAAGTCAGCGCCATGCTCCATGGCCTCAACCGCCTTCACAAGAACCAACACCGGGTGTCGACATACTGGTGGCCGGTATTTGGCCAGCTGCGGCGGCATGTGCGCCGTCTCGGGGAGGTGGTGCGGCCGTTGACAGCCGCCAAAGCCAAAGTTGACGGAGACGATCAGAGCGACGAGGAAAAGGCTGCCATAATGTGCGCGCGCGATGTTCGCGGTGATTTTATCCCCAAAGCCTATCTGTGGGTTGCCCCCCCTCCCGAGTTATATGCGCAATAACGTTTCTAACACGTCGTAGCGCCTTTTCACGACTAATTGCCGACCGCCGATTTGCGCAGCTCGGCTTGCTATTGATGGCCATTCTAGCGCAGGTGCACACGGCGCTTCGCTGGGTGTCTGGTGATCTTGCGACGAACAAACGACGAATCGTCAGCGATGAAGATGACGACGACGACGACCAAATTGAAGACGAGCTTGCCGACGCCGGGATTCAAGACGACGCACCCGGCGAATTTGGCGACGATCTCGGCGAGGTCATTGCTCGCGTAGACGACAGCGAGAACGAGGATACAAAACGGTATAAGGAACATGCTACGGTGACCATGAGCTCAAAACCGTCACTGAAACGCCCACGGCAAGAGGACGATACCGACATCTATGCCAACCATATCAAGTCGCGAACGTCCCTTGTGAAGGCGTCCACCAAAAGCGGCGAATCAGAATCTATCGTTCGTTCCGAGAAGAAGAGGAAAGTAGACGAGGACCCGCCGATGCCCAGATCCAAGGAGATCACGGGGGCCAAGGAGACCCAAGATGTCTTTGTGAAAAGAGACAAGAACGGCAAGAAAGAGAAGGACAAGGACCGGGACAAGTCGAAAAAGGTCAAGAAAAGGAAGAAGAACGGCGACGAGTTTGATGATCTCTTCAGCGGCCTGCTATGAGAGAGGTGGAAGTTTGATTGTTTTGTATTGTATTGTTTCATATGATACCCCAATGACTAGCCGAATCTTTTTCAATTTCGTTTTACATAAGCACTCATCGCAATACGGTAATGCCGACGGTTACTTTGATATCTACATGGTTCATTTTCCCAAGAGACACAGAAGCTGAATTCCTTACTGATATCAGACTTTAAGGACAAAACAAAACACAAACACGATGCACATCAGTGTGGAGCTGTGGTGGTTCTATGGTGTTTTTTTGTTCATATTTTTCTGCCAACTCCCCCAATTTCCAGCTTTCCTCCCTAGCGAACTATATTGCGCGTTCTTTCCTCCAAAACGCCATAAACCTTGTCTTCGTTTCCCCTTTGCCTCGCTCCCCAACCTTTTCTACTTGTCCTTGACATCGAAGTTTGCGCAACATAAATCAAAGAGAGAGAGAGAAAAGTCAAAACGACAGGGTAGGATCAACGGCAGGCTTTGTTTACGAAACGCGAAACGTCCATAAACAGGAAGGTACCTTGGGGTAACCCAGGGGCAAACAATAGGACAAAGATAAAAAACAAGACAATTCAAAAAATCAATAAGCAGACAATCAAAAAAAAAAAAAACTTAAAAGCCTTGAAAACGGCCAAGGGTTAGAAAAGGGGACGGAAAGTACAATTCAACACCTGACAAGGGGGAAATACAATAAAAACAAAAACAAATACATGATAAAAAAGGAACCAAGTAGACAATCGGGAAAACATATAAAAGAAACACGAGCTCGAACAAACTACTTGAGATTGTAAAAGGTCGATGTCTTCTAGCTGTGGTAGCGGCCGTACGACCAGATACGAGCGCGCATGTCGCCCGAGCCGGTCGCAAAGTAGCCGCCCGTCGGGCTGGGCGCGACGGAAATGACCGAGTTCTTGTGACCCTGCAACATAAGCTGGGTATGACCGGTGCGGGGATCCCAGAACTGGACACCGCGGTCCTTGGAACCAGACAGCACCCATTGGGCGTCGGGGGTGAGAGCGACAGAGAGGACAAAGTCCTGTAAATGTTAGTTAGGAGAGAAACAAAATCAAAGAAAGGAATAAAAAGCTTGGACGGATGAGACTCACCCTATGGCCTTCAAAAGTCCGCACGCAGCGGCCTCCCTTCGGTCCTTGGTTGGAGATGCCGCGGGGCGCCGCCAGCTCCCACATCTTGATCGTCTTGTCAAGACTGCCAGACACGAGGTCCTTGCCGTTGGGCGAGAACGCAACACTGTACACACTGTCCTTGTGACCGTCGGGGCCCTCCAGCCGCTCGACAAGGTAGCCTTGCTGAATGTCCCACACGCGGACGCTCTTGTCCAGAGAGCCAGCCGCGACGTACTTGGTGTCGGGCGAGATGGCCACAGTCGTGACGCCGTCCTCGATAGTGAGGGTCAAGATGCTCTGGCCATTCTCAATGTCCCACAGGCGAACGGTGCGATCGCCACTACCCGATGCAATCGTACGGCCGTCGCGCGCAAAGTCGAGCGAGTAAATATCTTGCTCGTGGCCTGCGAACGTGTTGCGGATCGTCCGCGTCTGGATGTCCCACACGCGGATGAGCTTGTCCTCGGCACCCGTGGCCAGGTACTTGCCGTCAGGGCTGAAGCACACGCTGCGGATGTACAGGTCGCCGCCGGTGTCCACAGCCTCGTCCTGCAGCACGCAGAGCTTCTCGCCCGTCTGCACATCGTAGATCTGGGCGGAGCGGTTGCAGCCCGTGGCCACGTACTTGCCGTCGACGCTGAAGCGGACACAGCACACAACACTCTCGTGCTGCAGGGTGTGAACCAGGTCGACGTCAATGACGCGCGGCACCTGCTGGTTGAAGATAACAAACCAGTCGTCCCGCGTCTTCTTGTAGTGCGCAGGAAGGCGCTCGGGGTCGAGGTCGCCCAGCGAGTTGTTTGAGTGGCCGGCGGGGGCCATCTGCATGCGCGCATGGTCGGGCGTCGGGTGCGACGCGACCTGAGGCGACTGGTTGGGGCCGGGGTACGGTACCGGGGTGTTGATCTGGGGCGTGGCAGGGCCACCGGGCGGAGGGCGACCGATCGGGCGCTTAACGGGACCGGGCGAGTTGGTCGGCGGGGGCTGGGATTGGAAGCCGCCCGGGGCGGGAGGCTGGCCGTAGCCCTGCTGGCCGAAGGGGTTCTGTTGCGAAGGCGGCGGGGGAGGAGGAGGGGGGGGGGCCCTGGAGGCCTGGCGGCGGCTGCTGCTGCATCTGGTGTTGAGGGGGGCTGCTCCTGGGGAGGCGGCGGCGGCGCAAGACCAGTCTGGCCGCCCTGTCCTGCGATGATAGCGCCAAAGACATTGCTACCCATGCCCAGGCTCGGGGGTTGCGGAGGGCCGCCATGCTGCTGGGGTCCGCCCATGTGGCCCTGGCTGGGGCCGCCACGCTCGCCAAGCTGGCGACGGAGAACGGCGATTTCCTCCTCGTATCTACAAGCAAGGTTAGTCGTGTCCAGTCCAGTTGTTATCCCACAAGACGGCATAACACGAATTGATTCGGCATTATTGAAATGTGCGTCGTGCCGTCGACGGTCAAGTTGGGAGTGGTGGTCGCTTACTTCTGCTTGAGGTTCATGTGCGTCTGCTCCATGGTGTAGACCTTTTCGCGGATGAGCTGCATCTCGTTGACCTGTGCTTGAACTAGAGGGGGCGCAAAAGGAGCCCCGGTTAGCCAATCTGTCACTCACAAAGGAACAGCCCGCGGGGGAGACTATCACGGGCACTTACTCTGATGCTCGTAGTTCTCACTGGCGCGCATCTGGGTCTCAAACTCGGTCCGGATCTGGTCGAGCAGCTCGGTCAGGCGGCCGACGCCGTTGCTCGGGGGCACGGCGCCCATGCCCCGGTGACCACCACCGTACATAGACATGATGCGCGAAAGAGCGGGATGGTATAAAACGCAAATAGAAAAGAAAACGAAGAATAAAAAAAAGGCTAAGGCCCGATGGCGATGGTATTGATGATGATGGAAAGAGTGCGCGATGCTAAGCTGCTAGGTATGCGAAAATGCGATGATGTCTGCAAGGGAACTGGCGCGTGTCGCAATCGTCGAATCAAAAAAGTGATGGACACTTTTGCGCTCGTTGTCGTCGTTAAGGCACGCACGTCGTCGCGATGAGTTTGGATGAAGGCGATGAAGGCGACGAGGAGTGCCAACGGACGGGGAGGGGGGGAGTCGTAGCCAGGGAAGGGCTGCCAAGCTAAAGCAATGACAGAAAGAGAGGGAGAGAAGGAAAAGAAACGAAACGAAAAAGCCGACGCTGTCAGAAAAGCAATGACAGAGCGCCTCCGATCGCGTGGCAATAGGCGGACGATGAGGAGGGACAAGACTTGATGATGGAACCACTGTCGGGGTGGGTGATTGAAGCGGAGAGAGAAAGGAGGAGCGAGGAGGACGAAAAGTGGAAGGGAGAAAAGAAGGGGAAAAAATTGATAGACTTGGGATGGTTTTGGCGATGCTCTTTGCTTTGTCTCCTCTGGCTGGGTGCACGGAAACCACGACCAGCGGTACACACGCTACGCAGACGCATTAGCAGCTCGTGCTAACTAGGGGGGGGGGGGCATGGTGGACGAGATGGTGGGTGGATTTAGGGTGGATTAGGGTGGATGGGGGTGGATGAGAAGGTAAAGCTGTCGTGTTTGGGGGGCGGGGGGAGTGAGGAAGGAGCGAGGCAAAAAAAAAGGGCAAAAACGCAAGAGGCTGGGTGGAGGAAAGCTTGGAGTTTCGGTTAGACCAGGTCGGCTAAGGGGTCCAGTTTTACCGAAAGGAGCTAGTGTTGTTTATTTTATCGATTTATTCCGGGCGGGTTTCTCGTTCTGGAAGGAACAGTGAGGAGGAAAATAGTTCCGAGAAAGCAACGAAATTCGAAAAGGACTGCGATGTATGACAACCGGCGTACGCCATATATGTAAGTACGTGCACTCTGTTTCTTGTCACGGCACGGCAGACAACGACTGGGTAGTTGACGCCAGGAAGCCGCAGCCAACGGACACAATATGAATGGAGATAGCGCACGCTGGAACGAAACGAGATTTTGTGCACGTTGGCGGGCAGTTGGGCGAGTACCAAAAAGCAGATTGGCCATGACGAGTACGGGCGGTGCTCCGTCCTTTGTACGAAAGAGAAAGACGAAAGGCTGTACGACGTGATACCACGCAAAGATACAGCAAGGGATGGAGATGCAGAGAGCTGAATACAGGATACGCCCAAGGCAGGGCAAATATGTCGTGTTGACAATTGAATCGAACTTTGTTCTTGTTCTTTCCCGTTGCAGTTTGTCGAGTTTGCCGCTGTAGCGTTGTTCTCTCTTATGCGTACTTACGTATCGTGTTTTGCACAGCAGCGTGAGAGATATGTGCGGGATGTGTGCAGAGTACGGAGGGACTTCCTCGGTGGGCCGTGCTTCCACGCCACAGAGAAACAACAGCCCTGAATCTCTGTTCTGTCCCTGTTTGTCTTGTACTGTTGTTGTGCGTATGGGAGTCGCAGGCAGGTGGAGACGAGGCACAGCCGGAGTGGGGCTATGGAGCTGGAGAGACGAAAGGAGGAAAAAAGAACGGAACCTGCAAGAATGAAGGATGGAAGCCGTCGCCACCAGCCAGGCAGGGGTTCCACTAATCGTAGCGCGCAGGAAGAAAATTGCCCACTGTTAGTTCCATGGCCAAGGCAGGTGCCACCCATTTGTATGCAACCGGGCGTGGACCGTGTGCGACAAGGTACATTCCTTGTATCTCTGTGTACTCGTATGTATCTCCACAAAAGTACTTACCAACTTTGCAGAAAGTGGGTATAATAGTACATGATTATACACCTCCATGACCTCAGCCCGACATATGCTGCTGCCCTGGAAAAGGGAACCACCCGAAAAGCGTTCGCAATTGTGAGGGACGTAACCTACGCGCAAGGTGTATTCTGTGTCACGGCGTATGGGACGGTCGCTCAATGTACCAATGTACCTTTCTGCCCCCTGTCCAATTCTGGTCGAGTGTTTCTTGCTGCCTCATCTCTTCATGCAACCTCGTTCACGCTACGCATGTGTCCACACTGTTGCCGTGGTGGACGGCCTTCCGGTTGTGTCTACTTCGTATCCCTCACCTTCCATCTCCACCGTCCGTGGTTCCTCTTCCAGGTGATCACAAGACATGAAAAATGGAGGCCGAATGGGCAGCATGCCCAAGAGCGTCGCACCGGCTTGCCCCGTCAACTTGCACCATCAACTTACTTTGCACACGCTTCGCTGTGCTCTCCTGCCACCTCAGTCTCACCGGGCGGTTAGACATGATCTGCGGTGGTGGGGGAAAGTGCACGAGTCAGCTCGGTGGAACATGCCACGGCGCCATCCAGCACAGCAAGGTTGGACGGCATGGTTGGAAGTAAGCCATGCGTTATCCTGGACCTATCCCGCCAGTCGCATCCTACAATGACGCAAAGCACGCCCCAGCTGGTGCTTTGTGCCTCTGGCAAAACAAAACCGGCGACCCAAAGTCATGGGCGCATATGCATGTGCTTTGTGGGACGTAAACTTCTGCAGAATGGTCATATTGTGACTGCACATGTTGGGTGTTTCTCCGTATGGGGTGTGTCGTATTTTTCTCTTGCTTTGCCCTTGTTCCGTCCTAGTATCTTGCCTATCTTACGCAACGAACCGAACGACGTGGTCGCTGGACTAGACACGGGATCAAAAAACAGATCGAGGCGAGCGAACCAAAAGCAACACCCGTCGCTTAAAAAAAGAAAAGAAAAAAACGAAACAAAGTTAACAAACGTACATTGGTACTTTGTATTCCGTACTCTCGAACAAAGAGCAAGGTTGTTGTTTCGCGTGCCGCGGGCGACCAAAACCGAAAGGACCGGGCAGGCGAGCAGAAAGATGTGACAGAGAAAAGGGGGAGGGGGGGAGTGTAGACAAACGAGGGGATTTTGGCTACGGAACCAACCAGAGAAAGGAGACGGTCGACAGAACGAATGTGGTAGCACATTGTGCCGGGCATTGCTCTGTTTCGCAGTGTATGTACGTGCGAGCGTGCATGTGTGCGTGCATACGATGCTTGTCGCCCTGCATCGCAGCTTGCAGATTGCATGGCCCATACATGCAGGCGTACGGAGAATCTATCTCAGTGTGGGTATGCAGGGCCAGCCAGAAAATGACAATGCAGGCAACGCATTCTGGCCTTTCCTATTTGGTTATCAAATGGGGGTGTAGGTTGCAGCGACAATGCGGACTTGTTGTGCTTGTTTGTGCTTTTGCAAGGTGCATTTTAGGCTGCAGTTTTCATCACGCAGAAAGACATCACATATATCGCCCTAATTGACCGGCGCCACGAAAACAAGCATCGTCGAAAGCAACCAAGGGGTATGAGAATAGGAAAGTTGGACTGATGAAAGAAATAAAGCGCTCGGTGGTTTTAAAAGGCATGTGTGAAAAGAATTGCCTACTATGTGTTGCGGTATCGCATTTTATATGTCTCTTTGATTCGGGCAAACGGTGGGTGGGGGGCCAAGTTGTGTAGGCGTGCGTTGTGCACAAACAAAATATTTGCCTCCTTGTCTGTTTTGCAGCCGGGTCTGGGCAAAAAACTCGCGGCGGGAAGGTGGTTGACAAAAGAGGTGTGGATGGCTCCCAATCCTCCGCATATATGTTGACTCTCAACAGAAGAACGTGGGTGACCTGATACATGACTTTATTTCATCTACACACAAAGTAATACCGTACTGGCATGCAAAAACAAAGAATAGCAGGATTGATTTCCGTCCTTTTGTTCCGTAAATGACGGGTTCGCATGCAACAGCTAGACCGTCGATATTAGCATTCTAGCTCAAAATATAAATTGAAAATAAATTAGGAACTCGTAAATAAAATCGACTTAATAAAAGGAGATATTGTACGGGGATGGGGAGCAAATCTACTGCTTGATATCAATATGCGGGTAGTATCAAGTCGACTACGGGTTGATATTGTACGGTTCAGGGGAACAAGTCAAAACTTGAGAGATGGGAAATTGTGTTTCTAGACCTGGATTATCGTGGCCTTTCAGACTGCCCACAAGTCGTAGATATGCAATCCTTTCACTCCGCCGTTGACTATGATCGTCCATGACCGGATGCTTATCAGGAATCCCGGCCAGAAGGCCACCTTTATACAGAGGATGAGTGGCTTGAGTTCCATATAACGATCACTATCACACCAACCAAGAAACTATTTAGTCGCATGTGCCTTTCACCATTCTATCCATTGACATTGAGATCCTTTTTCGACTTTTTTGGGTTTTATTTTATTTTTTATTTTATATATACGGACCGTTTTCTTTAAACAAAAGCACACTTGCCGGACAGAGTAAGAGAAACAAAAAGCGGACAAAACATGGAGGGCACTCAAGACAGGAGTAAAAAAGACTTTAGTTCGAACCGGGAAGGGGGTGGTATAACAATGCCTCGCAGCCTCTTTAACCTCCCAAGACTGCTATCTCACTCTTATTCTTTGCGACAAGAACAGCTCCAATGTGTAAGACCGATGACGCGCCCAAGACAAACAACCAGCCAGCAGAGAGACAAAACTGATTTGAGTTGGAAGAAGAAGAGAAAATAATCCCTCGGAAGAAGGCAGGGGCGTGGGCCCTAGAAGAGAAAAATAGAAAAAGAACTTGGTAAAAAAAGATTCCGGACTCTGTCAACCTAGCATCCTTCAGAAGTTGCCTCTCGAGCTTCGTTTCACGGAAACCAGAGAGGAGTCTTGGGATGGAAGGCATTAAGAGCAGAGCGGTAAGGGAATCAAAAAGAGAAGAGAAATATAAAAAAGGTTTAAATAAAAAGAAAATAAAACTCAAAGTGGACTGTGCCCCTTCCGCATCTGGTTCGCATTCGTCTGAACATTGGCGCACCTTCATAAGAATATTCGAACTTTAACACAAACAAGAGGTGCTTGTAACATAGAAAAAGTACAGGAGGAGCGGATTGGAAGAGAAAAGGAAGTCGAGAGGACGGAAGTGAAAAGAAGATGATGGATAGAGAACCATCGTCTTCTTCCTGTCAAAGAACAACTACAAACAACAAATCTAGTTGTGCTTGCCAGTCTTCTTGCCAGCGTGATGGGGTTCACGAGCCTCAACCTCATCACGAGCATGTTTGCCTGTCTTCTTGCCAGCATGGTGAGGCTCACGGGTCTCGACCTCATCACGGGCGTGCTTGCCAGTCTTCTTGCCAGCGTGGTGAGGCTCACGAGCCTCAACCTCATCACGAGCATGCTTGCCGGTCTTCTTGCCAGCATGGTGCGGCTCACGGGCTTCGACCTCGTCACGAGCATGCTTGCCAGTCTTCTTGCCGGCGTGGTGAGGCTCGCGGGCTTCAACCTCGTCGCGAGCGTGCTTTCCGGTCTTCTTACCGGCGTGGTGAGGCTCGCGGGCTTCAACCTCGTCGCGGGCGTGCTTGCCAGTCTTCTTACCGGCATGGTGGGGCTCGCGGGTCTCGACCTCGTCACGGGCGTGCTTGCCAGTCTTCTTGCCGGCATGGTGGGGCTCGCGGGCCTCGACCTCGTCGCGAGCGTGCTTGCCGGTCTTCTTGCCAGCGTGATGAGGCTCACGGGTCTCGAGCTCAGCATCAGCTACATCAACTTCCGCATCTTCGTGGCGCGCGTGCTTGCCAGTCTTCTTGCCGGCATGGTGGGGCTCACGGGTCTCGATCTCGACGTCCGCATCTTCGTCACGGGCGTGCTTGCCAGTCTTCTTTCCGGCGTGGTGCGGCTCGCGAGTGTCGATCTCCTTCACCATCGGGACGGCCATGGCCGGAGCGGCGAGGGCGATGAGCGAGGCGACATTGCGGGCAGACAAAGCCTTCACACCGCTGGAGGGCTGGAAACCGTACACGGCAGACGTAGCAGCCAGGCCACCAAGGACCAGCTGAGCCAGAGTAGGAGTATGCATCTCGAAGATATAAAAAAAATGGGAGGAGGTGGGAGGAGGTGGGGTGGTAGTGAGCGTGTTTGCGAGAGTTTCAAAAGAAATGAGAAGGTTTAGAAAAAGACAGTAAAACTTTGCTGACCGGCAGCTGAAATAAAAATATGTACAGCTTGAAAGGAGTGGTTGCAAAGAAGAGAAAAGTAAGAAGAAAAGTAAACAATTCCGAGTCAATAGACACCAGCGGGATGAAAAACAAGAAAAGAAAAAAAAGAAGAACAAGAAAACGAAGCTTTGTTATCGAAAAGTGAGTTTTGGCCGGATATATAGAAAAATCAGAGGCGATGAGGAAAAGATGAGCAAAGGGACGATGTGGGACACATTCTAAAGGGAAAGGTGAAGAGAGGACAAAAGACTCTTGCTCATCGGACATGCTCAACCAGAGGGGATCAACACGTTCGGTCGGCTACTCTTGCCCATCGACCACAGCCTGCGTAATTTTCTAAACCTACCCCCTTTGCTTGCGTGCTCTTGTGTGCTTGTACTTCTATGTTTGTGTAAGCGTGCGTCTCTGTTCCCCAGTCAGTCTGGCACACACTCAATGTTAGAGAACAAGGGCGTGATGGACGGGCAGTGACTGCGGTGAGGGCGTGGAGTTGGCCGACGAGACAATGCTTCAAACCTGATCGGTGGAGTCGAGACGTGTCTCACGATGGAAACTGTCAAAGGGTGCACGGTGTACCATTGGCTATTGGCGGGCTGTTACCGGTTTGCTTATGACTTTTGGACAATGTTTCCTAGTTAGTCGAACCGAGACCTGTCGGGGACCAGGGGGGTGCGGCTGGTGGTAAAGGGCAAAAGGCCCATGTCCGGGGCACGAGCTTTGCCGCCAATGCTTGGTTTCCGATATTTTTGTCCTTGGGATTGCCTCCTTCTGGTTTTATATCTTGGCATGAAGAAGTAACTCTGGAACACCCACAGTTCACGATGTTCAAAGAAACACGGGTCGACAATGCAATCCACTTGACTAATCATTGAATGCGGACATGGGATGGATATGCTTGAAAGAATGTTGAGGGAGCAACAAGAGGGGATCGTCTTTGTTCATGAGGCTTCTACTCTTCACTTTCCTCTGCCTATGCGCCTGTCCTCTTTTTGTCTTAAGTTCTTGCTGTGTTGCGGTATTTCTTCTCTTTGTGTATGGTTTGAGAACCCATCATCGGCTATTATTGCTGACATCGAGTGTTGGATGAGAGAGCGACGGCAGAGGGCCGTGTTTGGGGGATAAAGTCTCTGTGGATTTGTGAGGATTACGCGAGAGTGGATAGGATTGATCGTCGGACCTGTTGCCAAGGGGCATCAAAAATAACAAAGGGAAGGCGAGACGACGAGGCAGTGGGAGACGAACCAGCGAAAACACGGGAAGACCTGCGGCAATGGGACACACAGTCTTGGCAACCCCATACCTCCTTTTTAATGCCTTGGTTGAGCTCCGAGCGGCACCCCGAAAGAGTAAAAGGGAGGGACAATAACATCCAGCATTATGAAGGCCATCTATGGTATCCCGATATTGAGTCGAACAAAATGCATGGCACTGGGAATGCATTGGGTTTGGGAGAAGGGAAGATCAAAGACTGGAAGGTAGAGTTAACCTTGTTACTTGTCAGAGGTGTGGACGAAACATAAATAAAGGCTAGGCAATTGAAACGTGCCGAACGACTACATGACCAGGGCTCACATCTAAATATTGAGGTGCACAAGGCACACGGGCTTTTGCCAATAGGCTTGTAGACTTGCATCATCAGATTGCGTATGTGTACGGAGTATGCTTATGTGGGCGGCAGCTTGGAAAGGCCTCGGGACCTTGCGCCTGGCCTGTTCTAGGAGACGGCTTCCCGTATCCCGATGTCGTATTCGGCAGATGCACCTGGTGCCACTTGTAGATAGAACCGTAATAGATGAAATAGAATGCCGAATCAACTTGGAGGGTGGCGCGCACTGGCGCCTTGTTGACGCTGAGAGTGGAAACAGTGTTCTGGCCAAACGAGGCTCAACTGGCGCTGACACAGAAGCTAAAACATCGTTGGGCCTGAAAAGGGACAAGTGGAGAAAGGTCGAGGCTGGGGTGATTGATTGATGGAAAAAAGCGATGCGAGCTCACAGGTCACAGGATGTGGCACTGCTGGGCTGGCAAACGAGGAGAACGGGATGCCCGCATAGACTTACCAGAGACAAACGGCCCAGTGGACGGTATTGAAGAATAAGAGGGGCGGGCAGAACAGCTGGGGACGATATTCCAAAAGGACGATGATGCTATGTTGGGTGTGAGACGGCAACTTTGGAGAAAAGGAGAATAGGAGACAATGGGCGAGGCCGACGAGATGGGGTTTGAGGGCGAAATGCGACACGCTCATTGGTTGTGGCAGGCTGAAACAGTGTCATTCAGGAAGGAGCGTCTGTGACATCGCAACGACAGAATGGCAAGTCCAACCATCGTATTGAGGTTTGGTTGCATAAATGGCAGGCGCGACGGGTTTCAACCAGTTAAAGATGGCACAGTGGTGCTCGGTCGAGCTCTTTCCTATTCCACCCAGGAGCGATGAGGGTCTTACCAGTGGGATATTTTTGTTGCACCAGGCCCTGTTCAAAGCTATTTACGTCGTCCATACAGAAGTAGTTTTGCAACTCAACACCCAGCCCGCTGGTCGTGATACAAATGCGACAGCGCCTGCTTTGGTGGAGGAACTGTGTGAATGAAACCGTCAAGTAGCTGACAAGTTCTTTACTTCTAGATGCCTTGTTTGCCGGTAACGATTTACTGTCCAGGAAACCCCCTTTTCACGAGCCGAAATTACATTGCGGATTTCCAAGGGCCATACCTGACCAAGAATGGCGAAGCTTCTCTCATCGACGGCTAAGACGGGACAAGGCAAATCTGATGGTCATATGTTGACACTGCGTTCCTGACGATCGTCCCGCTCCATCGCACCCATCAACCATTGCTCGATGGCCTTGTGCCTTGCAAAAGCCCTCGCCACATGGTATTGTGCCGTGCAGTGTCCCAGGTCGAGAAACGGCGGGTGGGCCCCTGAAAATGGCCAGCCCCAGTTTTTGTATTAGTTGTCGACCAATAGTAGTGTTACGGCCCTCGTCGTTCCAGATTGTGGACATCAAACGTTTCAACATCGCTTCACCTTTCCTTACAGACGGTAGGTCACGCTGAAAAGGGTTTCTGTTTTGTCCTTCTCTATTTTCAATTGCTTCCCACTAAGCGTGCTTTGATTTTGCTGAAACTCAGCGACCGACCACCTGCCACCACTTGTTTCTATTTTTTTTTCTTCTTTTTTTTTTATCCCGTTACCCATTGCTTTCGCGTCAACATTTCCAATGTCATTTCTTCCACGACGTGCCTGGTGCTCGTGATCTTCTTCCATTTTGTCGAGCCATTTGTGCGAGCCTGCTCATCCTCTGTCGCTCACTTTTCCCCACGTTTGTTCCCTCGTCGTTCCTTGGCTGTCGGTTGGTTCACCGTTTCTTTTTATGCTATCCCGTCTTTGTCCTTTGTGGCCTCTTTCCGTGACTTCTACCGAAGTATCTCTGTCCATCTCATTCCTGACCGTGCACTCTGCGAGTTGCCCTTCTCACGACTAATTTTGTCTCTTGGCCATCTCTTTCATTTCTTAATCTGGACTCGCTTCCCCTTACCTTTTGTTTGTCAAGTTGAGTGTTCTTTGACCAGTTTTGTCGATCTTGACTGGTCTCTGCGACCCTCTTTCGCCTTTTATTTTCATCTGTCGTGCTGTGCACGACCGACTATCTTTAATCGTTTTCTTGGCTGTGCCTCAGCCTACCTCGAGTCTTGGATCTTGCCTTACACCACCAACCCTCACCATGTCAAAGGTTTACCACTCTCTTCCTCTCGACGAGGAGAAACTCGACGATGACTCGACAACTTTTGCCTCGACTACCCGCACATTAAGCATCGACTCCGACTCGGAGCGTGCAGGCTTCGTGCCCCGGGTCCGTCACCACCTGGCTCAGCACTGGATGTGGCTCGGTCATGCCGTGCTTTTGACGACTTCGGTCACGCTCTTCACACTGTCTTTTTGTGCGCGGAACGCGAAGCCAAACGACGCCACATACACGAGCGCATATTCCTCGTACTGTAAGCGTGAGATGGAAGGTTGGAAGGTGAAAGACCAACAAAGGAAGCATGCTAACATACGACAGCTCCCGCCGCAGTGGCGGTTCGGTACGAGACAACACGGTTCACCAACCTGACACCCGTCGTCGAAGGTCCCTTTGTGGGCTTTGGTCCCGAGGTCGACCTGGCCTGGGACTACATCGCCAACGACAGTAAGTGCTTTGAAGTAGGGAGGCAAGAACGTACAGAGAGGTTGTGGGAAGGTGATCGCAGAAGATTGAGAAGGAGGAAGATGAAGAAGAGAAGTTGGTGTAGAGAAAGAATAAGAGGAATGCAAGAGTGCTCACAGCAACAGTCGGAGATACGATGATCTCAGAAGAGGAGCTTGACAAGCTTGGTTTGCCGCGGAATTCGCTCAAGATCACCCACCCGCGCACTGGTGAAGTGGGCTACCGGGCAGCCCTCGAAGTCTTCCACCAATTGCACTGCCTTAACTTGGTTCGGCAGGCGGTGTACAAGGACTACTACAAACACCACGGCGGCGACGTGGGCGGTGCTGATAGCAAGGAGGACCTGATGGGTCACGTCGGTAAGTCCCACTCGTGAAATACTCTGTATGGGCCGTACGGACCGGCAGTTTTGCTTCCCGAGCTAACGAAAACAGACCACTGCATCGAGACCTTGCGGACCAACCTGATGTGCCAGAGCGACATTGGTATTTTCACGTTCAAGTTGTTCCCGGAGTATGGGTTTGCCGATGACGATTACTGGCCAGATTTCAACACTCTGCATACCTGTCGCAACTTCGAGGCCGTCCGGTCTTGGGCCGTTGAGCACACCGTTGCATGGGACCACAACGTTTGACGGCTGGGGCAATGAGAGT